GCAGTGGCGTCCTTTGACCTAATTGGTCAAGTTGGTAATTAACCAATCACAATGCTGTGTTGTACTGTCGCAATTCTTCGGAAATTCCCGAAGACTTTCCGGTAACGCAATGCGGAAGTGAATTATCGATGTCAAAGTACGATCTGTTGGAATTGATTTCAGCGAATAAACGACATAGTTTTTCCAAAAAACTAGTAACTAGCCATTTTTGAGAGGTAAACTGAATATGGCATGAAATATTTACCTCATTTTACTTGTATTAACAGGTCATTGTCGAAGCGTAGTTTACGCACGGTTACCGTGTTCTACGCATTCACAACATGTTCACAACGGTCGATATCCTCGCTGTATCATATAAAAACGATTACCAAGATTCGTTACGCAAGACCAAGTTTTAAATTAGTTGCATTTTGAAGGGGTGGGCGCTTTGCCGAATGTGACCCCGAATATAAAAATTGCGCAAAAGTAGGGGGTGGGCGCTTGCCCGGGCATGGGCGCTAACGCGGTCGAGTACGGTATATTTTTCCCCTAGAGGTGCATATATAATTATATTAGTGGGTATTATATAAGGGGATTCGGGTTAGAGTTAGGGTTAAAATGGGAGATGTGAGATGGGAGGGGGGCTACGAAAGTCTTTCTCTAACAAGCCTAACTTAAAGCGCGGCAGTCATCGTGCCGCATCCTGTTCGATATGGGACTCATAGTAACGTATACAACGCGTGTAAAATACATTGTTTGTTTACATGAAATTCAAACATGTGCTTCGCGACGACCACCGTCCTTTAATAACCTGCATCCATGTTTCATACATTATGTTTTTCATACATGGATCCTATCTGACATATGTAAGATCCCTAGTAACTATATTCCCGACAGTATTTTTAGTCAAACCTGCATAACTGCATAAAAGCGAACATGCTTAATTAAATCAATGTGAGAAATTTACTGTTATTTACTATATGGGGGCTGCCATCTTGAATTTGACCAAAATCTATAAATAAAAACACAAGTTTTGAAACAAGTTTTTCAGATTCCTACAAATCAGATTGAAAATAAAAAATTCATTGTTTTTTTATGGGAAAGTTTCTTTGCATTCTTGTATCGATCAACCTTTTCATGACCAGACTTTCTCACAACATTTTTCTTTTTTTACTTTTTTTCTTATATTCTTCAATATTTCTGGAAATGAACCCTAATTTTGTAGCCAACAGATATAATTTGAGTCAATTTTCAGTTTTTACTCAAAAAATATGGCTATTTTGGTCCCAATCGTCTGGAAGAAAGTGCAGACTATAAATGGAACTACCCGGTAGGGGGTATTTTGTGAATTTGTAATGAAATGAGGGAACCGGTGGTGGAAAAGTTAATGTAATTAGAAAACCAAAAATGAAAAAAAAAAGTATCACTGGACAATTTTTACATGAAATGTATGAAATTCATGAAAAATGATAACAATTTGCATTTTTACGCTGATTTCTGATTTCTGTGGTGAAATTATTTCTTCAATCACAACGTTACATATAATGAAAAAAAATTGTATGATATTAATAGTACATGTATTAAGTAGGTACTTTTAGTATGGTTGTGAAGAATTATTAAAACTTTCTGATTAATACTAATAATTTTTTTGTGAAATAATGCTAGTGAAAATGGTTTCTGATATTGTCCATTTTTCCGACACAGGTTTTCCCCAAAAAATATATTTTGTGCATGGTAAAAATAACAACAAGCTGATGACATGTGTCCTATCAATAATTATTTTATACTTTTATAAATATATTTTTGCATCCCTTTTTATTGGATTAAGTGTCCGTGAATGACCTCATTAAGTTCATACTTTTTTTTGATTATTCAGTCAACTGATGTACTTGCATCACCATGCTTAGTGTACCAGACAGAGTCTCCTGTACCGAATGTACCAGATAGGAACATCGTTGATATGCCAGTCATGGAGGATCTAAATGAAATACAAAGCTCTCCTGTGTCCTCTAATACTGGTGTACTTAAAGGTAATTAGTTTTTATTTATTTTCATCTTTCCATGACCAGATTTTCAAACCCAAATTTTCCTGCACTTTTTGTTCTTTATTCTTAAATATTTCGAGAAATGAATCCTAATTTTGGAGCCAACAGGCAAAATTTGAGTCAATATTTAGTTTTTACTCAAAAAATTTGCCTTATTTTAGTCCCAACCTTCTGGAAGAAAGTGCAGACTATAAAGTGAAGTATTTTATGAATTTGTGATAAAAATCGTGAAAAAAAGGGAACTGGTGGTGAAAAGGTTAACACACCACTTGCTAAAGGCCTCTGTGGATAGCCGAAATGATTGGTGAAAAAGTGTGAATAGGCAGTGTGTTAAATTTCCTTTTTTCTAGGGCTACGTCAGCTGTAAGGCTTAAAAGTAAGCTTTTCAAAATAAATGCTGATTTTATTCATCACTAACACATAATGGTGTATCATATTGCTAGTATTATACATCTGTCGTCTTTTCTTCCATGGCTACATCATGGAAATTCCGAAATCCAAAAAGTTTAGAGCAATATCTTTGTATGGAGTCCAGTCAAACCCTGGTGGCAGCCATGTTTGTTTTTAATATTAGGGGATGCTTACATGCATAATTATTCCATATTTGGAATTCGTATTTTCTAATATGGTAGAATGAAAATACCCCGTAAAATATCGCAAAATTACGGCATTACGGTGACAGATGTATAATAACAGTAATTATTATATGCCAAATTTATTATGATCAATTAGACATGTGTCTTTATTTCCTTGAAAATTAAGTCAAGTTTGAGTCCATCACTGTAATGTAGGTGTGAGTGTAAACAAATATTCTGTATATACTTACATGTATACATAGTCTTGATACTTTAGCAGACAGTGATCATTAGGCTTTCGATGCTTTTCCGCATCGAAAGCCTTTTGTAATTGTAAAGTTTATTAGGCTTTCGATGCATTTCAGCATCGAAAGCCTTTTGTTATTGTAATGTTTATTATTATTATTATTATTCTTATTCTGCCGTTTTTTTAAAACTCTTTTTCTCAAAGACGGGTTACCCACTTGACCTGATACTTTACAGAGATAATCTATAGGCAATTCTCTAAAACGTCAAAGTTTCCGATTTTCGATATGTGACGTCATTCGGCCGTCATCTTGGATTAAAGACGAAATTTTCAATGCCGAATTGCACACCTTTCTGAGGGTCTGAGTGCTCCCAGTTTTTTATGGTAGCAGCAGTGGAACAAGGGCTAAAAATATCATCAAAAAAAACTTTAGCGGTCACGTGACTTTTTTTACTAGAATTTTCAGAAATTTTGTTTTGCATCTCATTTGCATATTTTTTGACTAATTCACTAACCCTGCATATATTTTGAAAGATCAAGTGCCATAGTATTTATTTTTCCAAACGGCTTCTCCAGGCGATGAGCCGTTTTTTATAAAATGATTTTAGAATGTTTTTTCACATTTTTTTTATTGTACCATGCAAAGCATCATGGGAAAGGGGGGAG